CCTCTATAAATAGCTTTGTACATCCTAAAAAACAATTGGGTTTTGTTTAGTTAAATTTTGCCAAGTGCCATTCATCTTGTCTCTAGTCGTTGCTCGATTAGTCGGCGACTATAGATTCAGGGCCCCGAATAGTTGGTGTGTTGATTTGCCGGGTCGATTAGGTCTACCACTTCAATTGCAACTATTCCTTTGTGCTTAATCACCTATTCACAATATTTAGATTGCATCTTATCTTGTTCTTGCAGTGTTCTCTCGTTTACGTTGCAGGGATCATTAATCGCGCGTCACGGTTGGTACGATATCTTTTGTGATGTAGCGATTGCACAACGTTCTGAACTTGTTCTAGTTGGTAGTCATGTTGCAAACATCACACTCGATTAAAGCGAGAGTTATCCCTCTCACTAGAACTCTCACTAGAAGATCGGGCCACGAGAGAGAGCGCCATCATGAGGGTTTCCAACCCTCACCTAAGAACACAACCTAATAGGTGCTTTTGTCGTCGTACTTGCTTCGTCGAATTCTACATAGGAAAATACATCAATATTTATCTTTGCATAACCAAGATTAGACGCCACCCAATCCCTTGGAGACATGTTCCCAATTCCCGACCTATAACTATAGAGTGGATTGAAGCAATGTTTCCAAGCTAGTAAAAAATCGTAGTGTGACAAGGGCTTTTGCAATGCCTTGTGGCATGTTGCCGTTGATATGACGTGACAGTGTAACCGTTATCTTCGGTATCAACTTAGATGGCATATGGCCAAAAGATTTATTACTAAAATAATATTTTAGAGTTTATTTTTAAAATTTCAAAAAGGTTAAAAAAATTTCATGAGTGCGTGTGCTAGGCTGCTAGTAGCTATTTTCATTTTCCCTTACAATTATATACCCTTCATTCACAAATATAAATATTTCTAGCATGTAAAATCTATTCAAAATATTGTATGTCAAGAATACTGCTTCCCAAATCTGTCATCCTGATGATTTCCTGTATTTATTGCTCTTTCATAGTCGCGTCATCTAGCGTTATCTTTCCCAGTAAAGTAAAACACCCACGGATGTAAAAGTGATTTCACTTAAATCTTAATCTAGTTAATCTGTGTTAGAGCTTCTAAAAGTATTTATATACTTATATTTGCGTAGGGAGAGAAACAGACAAACAGTTACTAGTCCTGTGAGAAGCAATCAAGCAGCACAATATTGAATGCGGTCATTACCTATCTGCGCAACATCACGCCACCAACTCATAATTACATTCTATAAAAAATAAGCGAGTTAATTGTGTAAGACACAGCGGCAGATCGTGACAATTAGAATGTGTTTGTACTGTTGTATATTTGTCTATTGGCCATTGCTTATGGGTTCTTTCTCGGCTGTTGCGTTGCTGGTGCCTTCGAACCTTGGCCCTTGCAGCTGCCTCTTCACCAAGGCCGTGTAGATGCCGTCGTGGCTGAGGAGCTCGTCGTGCGTGCCGCTGTACCTCTACTAATTGCTGACCTGATTCCAACCAAAAAACAAGCAGCTATCTACTTATCATTCTTCGATGCCCTGATCCCTCTGCACCCATCAACATATGATGATGATATGAACATGCTTGATCTCTTGCTTGGAGAGCCAGAATATGACATGGTTCTTCCTTGATTCCACAGGATGCAATGGACTCTCTGATGAAAGGGAGGACCGTTCTTGTGATAGCTCACCGGCTGTCCACCGTCAAGAGCGCCGACACCGTCGCCGTCATCTCCGACGGCCAGATAGTGGAGAGCGGCACGCACGACGAGCTCCTCAGCCGCGACGGCATCTACACGGCCTTGGTGAAGAGGCAGCTGCAAGGGCCAAGGTTCGAAGGCACCAGCAACGCAACAGCCGAGATAGAACCCATAAGCAATGGCCAATAGACAAATATAGCCTCTTCTGCATAGTACTTGATTTTTGTCCCTTCTCCGGGCAGGTGGACACCGTTTCCTGATGATCCACTGAATGTAAACGGATATGAATGCATCCACTCTGAAAATGCCACGCAGTCCCGCACAACAGTACAAACACATTCTAATTGTCACGAGCTGCTGCTGTGTCTTACACAGTTAACTCGCTTATTTTTTATAGAATGTAATTATGCCTTGATGGCGTGATGTTGCGTGAATGGGTAATGACCGCATTCAATATTGTGTTGCTTGATTGCTTCTCACACGACCAGGTTGTGTTCGGCATCCATGTTTCATGGAAAATGGAGCAGTCTATTAGCACGTGATTAATTAAATATTAGCTAATTTTTTTAAAAAATAGATTAATTTGATTTTTTAAGTAACTTTCGTATAGAATTTTTTTTAAAAAATATACCGTTTAGCAGTTTGAAAAACGTACATGTGAAAAATGAGGAAGATGGGTTCGGGAAAGGGAAAAGGGGTACCAAACACAGCCCTAGTAACTGTTTCTCTCCATGCGAAAGTATAAGTATATAAATACTTTTAGAAGCTCAAACACAGATTAACTAGATTAAAGATTTAAGTGAAATCACTTTTACATCCGTGGGAGTTTTACTTCACTGGGAAAGATAACGCTAGATGATGCGACTATAAAAAGTAATAAATACAGGAAATCGTCAGAATGACAGATTTGGGAAGCAGTATTCTTGAAATACAATATTTTGAATAGATTATAAATGCTAGAAATATTTATATTTATATTTGTGAATGAGGGGTGTATAATTGTAAGGGAAAATGAAAATAACTACTAGCAGCCTAGCACACGCACTCATGAATTTTTTTTAACCTTTTTAAAATTTTAATTTTAAAAATAAACTCTATAATATTATTTTAGAAATAAATCTTTTGGTCATACCATCTAAGTTGATATGGCATGATAACAGTTACACTGTCAGGCCATGTCAACGGCAACATGCCACATGGCATTGCAAAAGCCCTTGTGCCACACTACGATTTTTTACTAACTTGAAAACATTGCTTCAATCAACTCTATGATTACAGGTCGGGAATCGGGAACAAGTCTCCAAGGGATTGGGTGGCACTTAATCTTGGTTATGCAAAGATAAATATTGATGGATTTTCCTATGTAGAATTCGACGAAGCAAGTAAGGCGACAAAAGCACCTTTTAGGATGTGTTCTTTAGGTGAGGGTTGGGAACCGTCACATCAAATACGTAAAACGGAGCAATGAATTAAGTTATTAATTAATTATTAGCTTTAAAAACTTCAAAATTGGATTAATATGACTTTTTAAAGCAACTCTTATATAGAAAATGTTTGCAAAACACGCATCGTTTAACATTTTGAAAAACGTGCGCGTGGTAAACGAGAGAGTGGGGTTGGGAAATTGAACTTAAGAACACAACCATGTTTATCACTTTTGCTAGTTCAATTTCAGTAAACGAGCGCGTGGTAAACGAGAGAGTGAGGTTAGGAACTTGAACTTAATGGTTTTGGTAGTTCAATTTCAGTAAATTAGCCAAGGCATAAGATACGTTTAGATGAATCAGCCTTGTTTATTACTTTTGCTATCACTTGCCTAGAACATATCATATCTCATAAACCGTTGTGAACAAAGGATTTTTCTATCAAACCAACCAAATAGGAGGCTTTTTTTGCACAATACGAGAGTATGTCTCTCCTCTATACATGAGAAAAAAAAAGACAATTGAGTGAAAGTAGGCTCATATTCGGTAAAGTACAAATATAGGATCACACTACATAGTTCCATTTCAACCTCAAGGGGAGCTATGCATAGGGGGCCATGCTGCTACCTTTATGGAAATTTATATGGCATGGTGTAAATGTGGAAGAAATGAAGATACTAGTTTTTCGAGAGGTGCTTGCATTGCCTATAGAATAGATTTGGAAAAGGTTAATTGTTTGTTGGGAAATAATCTCTCGGCTAAGGAAATGAGAGAGAATCACACGGCCGTTTCCACCCGTTGGCCAGCGTGATTAAAGCGCATAACTCACATTTAATTCCTTTCCAGAGCGATGGTCGGACGCGTGGTTTTTTTTCAAAGGACTCACCCCCGATCCCCTCACTGGACCCAATATAAAGGAATCGAAAATGGATACCCATTTTGTTGGTGATGACTAATGTACGGATTAGCCAAAAGTAAAACCCTCAGTGGTGTGGTGGTAGACCAGGGTTTAAATCCTAGTGCCCACGAATATTCTGCATAAGTAAGTGGACTTTCAACAAGACTTTAGTGCGAACTGTGAGATCATGAACGTGCCGCTAATTTCAGTCTCTTCGAGCATGTGTTAGGGGACGTATTCACGGGGGTGTGAGGGGACTTTAGTGAGAGCATGCGTTAGTCAAGTAGTAATCAGTTTTGCTGCTTTCTCTCAGAGTTTCGTCCGAATTGCATAATTCGTACATCCTGAAACCAGTACTAATAAGTTTCCTACCTGACATCATGAACAGTACATTTTATCTAATGATAATGAAATTCAGACGGCGTCCTTCCGCCGTCCCAGCGAAAAATGGATTGCGCATTTCACTACGGTTTTTCAGGCTATGTTTAGTTCAGACTAAAATTGAAAGTTTGGTTAAAATTGAAACGATGTGACGGAAATATTGGAAATTTGTTTGTGTAAAAAAGTTTTGATGTGATGGAAAAGTTAGAAGTTTGAAAAATTATTTTGGAACTAAACACGGCCTTACTAGCTTGGAAGCATTGCTTCAATCCACTCTATGGTTATAGGTCGGGAATCGGGAACAAATCTCTAAGGGATTGGGTGGCGTATAATCTTGGTTATGCAAAGATAAATATGAGAAATTTTGCTACAGGACACTTGTTATATGTGGTTTTAGCCCTAGGACACTGCCCAAACTCACTTTTGGGGGAAAACATTCTATAAACGTGGTAATTTGCTAGTGGACACCGTGCCGATTAAAATAATACTTTCCGATTGGGGAGGAAAGAGAAATCGCGTGAAATGTCAAAAATACCCTTGGGCCCACATGTCAGCTATATCTACTGCGTTAGGGGACGTATTCATGGGGGTGTGAGTGTGGTGTTGCGTGTGTAATGGTGTGTGCACGTGTACGCGTACATCTACTGCGTAATTAAAATAACAAAAGGGTTGAAAATAATAAAAAAAACCACTGGGTCTGCCGTTCTTTAGTCTGACTCGAATAGACAGGCTCGAGCCGAAACCTCAAACCTCGGTCGAATCGAACCCAGAAAAAGTCCAAAAAGAACCGGCGACACACGACCCACACACAGTACGCGCACCTGTTCCGCCCCTCTTCCTTCCGCCTCCCGCCCGCCACTCGGATTTCGGGGAGCACACGATGCAAAAAAAGCATTTTCTCACATTTCTTCCTCCTCTTCTGCCCTGACGTTAACGACTCGCGATTCGCTAAGCTCCTCCTCGTCTCTCTTCCCCCTCGATTTCTTCTCCCCGGGGGCTTAGATCTAGAGAGAACCCCGCCGATGCTCCCGATGGTGATGCTCCAGGGCGGCGGCGGCGCCGCCTCGTCGTCGTCGTCGAAGCGGCGGAACCAGCAGCGCAGGCAGCGGCGGAAGCGCGCCGCCGCGGGGAAGAAGCAGGGAGGATCCCCTGCCTCAGGTAACTACCAACCGCGTTGCGAGTTGCGACGCGCTGTCGTTGTTGCTCGGGTTTCATCTCTCTCTCTCTCTCTCTCTCCCGCTAATAATAGACATTTGTTCTGCGGTTCGATCAAATCTAGAGAGGTAGCCTAGCATCCGTGAAAGCGAAACCCTCTGTTGTGTGAGAAGAAGACATGCTTTGCTTTTTCTGATATCTGTTTGAGTTTAAGAAACTCTGTTTGGAAATTTCTAAGTTTTAGTATTAAGAGGTTCAAGGCTACTACCTGATTAGATTACCTTTTTTCTTTGCAGAAAATAATGGAGAGGAGCATGCTGATGCTCAAGGATGCTTACCTGACATCTCTACTAGCAAGTCTGAAAATTACAAGGAACGTGCCTTTTCAACTCAAGGAGATTTGCCCCAGAAAGCAGGTTGTGATTTGGAAGCAAATTTGTGCGCAGAATCAGTGCAAAGTTCGTCCAGTCAGTTGGTGCATTCAAATGAGAATAGCAATCCAAAGCGTCCAGAAGTGAAGAATGCTAACTCAGCAGGGAATTCAGAACATTGCATGCTCGACACCAGGAAAACTACAGATCATGATACATCTTCCATGCCACTTCAAGATTCTAGGTTTGATGCAAATGTCAGGATCGACGGCCTACACTCCACAACTGAAGAGAGAGTTTGTCAAAGCACAGTCGGTGATGGTTTTACCGGCATGTCAAATGCTAGTTACAACCCTTACAGTGTACAGGAGAACCAGAGGATAGGACCTTTTATGAGAGAACCTTATACCCTGCACAGCCATTTTCTGCATCCATCACATGTTAGGGGTTACATAGGCAACAAGTTTATGGGTTTTCCTCCTGTACACCCAATGAATGCATTCGATCCATTCAATCAAGGTTTTAACTTCTTCCATACAGGAAATATCCCTCCTTACGGTGTATCAGATGTTCATCGTGGTCTAAACATTTATGGATTAAGTACCATGGGGAAATGGGAATATGATTATGGAAGACATATGGATTATACCAATGTAGAGAGAAATGAACTGCGCATGACAGAAGAAGCTTACTTATCAACACACAATAGTGCTAACTTCATAAGGCCTTCAAGTTTACCTCTGACATATCAGCAAAAGCCTCCAATCACCTTGTTACCAAGAGTATCCTTGACAGGGTTTCGGAAGAAAAAACTTCTTATTCTAGATCTTAATGGTTTGCTTGCGGACATCAACCAAGATTACCACAATTCCCATATGGCTGATGCAAAGGTTCGAGGCAAACTAGGTGAATTTACTTGTACCATCATCCATTATTATTATTTGCAAAATATTGTTCTAGAGTTGTTACACAAGATGTTAATGCTCAAAATATACCTCCCTACCAGTCTTCCGAAGACCTTACTGCCACGATTTTCTTAGTTTTTGCTTACAAAATTTTGAGCTAGGCATATGGTCCTCAAGAAAAAAGTATGATCTCTTGTCCATATCTATCTTTTATTACTTTTCCATCATTGCTTCAACTGTACTTACTGTGTAACTCTCATTTCTCCAGGCAGAATGTTGATTCAGTCATTGATATCATCATGAGAGATTTCAGACCTTTGCTAAAATTTTGTTGGGTAGGTCATATCTAACATTTTGGTGTCTGTGTCTCTACTAGTCTACTGCAAGTTATTTTTAGCCTGGAACCTTCATGATCATATCTAACATAATGGGCAGGACATGTCTAAATGCACATTTACTGGACACAAAACATTGGAGAACATTCACAAACCATTGGTACTGAAGGAATTGAGGAAACTGTGGAACAAGGAAGAACCTGATCTACCGTGGGAGCAGGGGTACTATTCGCCTTCTAATACGTTACTTGTGGATGATTCTCCTTACAAGGCACTGCGTAATCCGGTATTAGCTTTATTCTCTTTCACATACCACTTCATTTGAACAATATATTTGCCTTATTGATTTTTTTTTTCATGTCTGTGTTCTGCAGCCATATACTGCCATTTTCCCTCAACCCTACAGTTATCTTAACAGCAACGATAATTCATTGGGTATGTGATCATTTCGTATCTGTAGATGCCTTATCTTCCGGAGTAATACATCTTATTCACGCTGTGAATTGCAATGCAGGCCCTGGTGGAGATCTTCGTGTTTATCTGGAGAACCTCACAGTTGCAGAAGATGTCGAGTGCTACGTTCGCAACAATCCATTTGGCCAACCTTTCATCACACAGAGTGATCCACACTGGAGCTTCTATGCCCAAATAGCTAGCTAGTTACTCTATTTCCTGAGTTATAGGAATATTAGTTCTCTGTTTATTTTTCCTTTTTCCTGTCCATGGGATATTTTTGCAACGTATAGGTATTGCAGTGTTAATGAGAAGGTACTCCTATGTACCTTCTGGGTAGAGTTATTATATACCATGATTAACACTATTGTATACCTCTGCCTCTTAATACTATTTCCCAAGGACCAAATTCTCCATTTAATATAGGAATTTGCTCTACAGCTTGTATGTCGATCTTCTGATGGTTGTTCCAACTCCAGACCAGGCGGAAAGTTATACTCTGTTATGGTACCCTTGTATACGCTACTTTAAAAGCATATTGGAAAAAAGATTGAAATCAGTGTACGTAGGATCAGAGGATTTTGCACCATGTTTTAGCTTTGTACGATGATCTTGAATGAATGAATGAATGAATACGTTGTCACACTGCCATGGCCTCAAATCCTCAATGTTCATTGCTGCTCAATGTTTATTCAGTTTCTACTTCCAGTCTTTCAGCACGAAATGTGCAGATTTAGCATCTTGCTCGTCTACATGTACTTCGAATTTTCCGTTTGAACTGCAACAATGAACCTTTGAGAAAAAAAACTACATTTTTCCAAACCGAAAAAACACAAATTTGTGTTTCTTTGATTTTTTTTGTTCTCTTTTTTACAGTGCAAATGTTTGAAATCAATTACCTGCCCACTTAAAGTGTAGACTCAGCTCACCTTAAAAAAAATACACATCTTTCCAAACTGAAACCCAAGAACGTGTTCCTTTGAATATTTTCACTTTTTTATACAGTTGCTTGGAATCAATTACCTGCTCACGCAAAGAGGAGAGGCATATCTATTTTAGAGCCGCTCCTTTTAGAGCCAAAGCATTCTGCAAAGCGTGTTGGGCCATGAAACTGCATTGCAGCAGAAGAGGCCCACTAACCGGCCCAATAAGGAGCGCAAGCGTGACACCCTAACCGAGAGGATCTATAAATAAGAAACCCTAGCGTCCCACCCCTCTCCCATTCCGCCTCCACCCCTGCCACCCCTCCAAACCCTAGTGCCGCCGCCGCCGCCGCCTCCAGGAGAGGAGAGGTAAGTCGAAGATGGTGTCCGGCTCCGGCGTGTGCGCGCCGCGCGTCGTGGTGGACGCGCGCCACCACATGCTCAGCCGCCTGGCTTCCATCATCGCCAAGGAGCTCCTCAACGGGAAGCGCGTGGTGGTCGTCCGCTGCTAGGAGATCTGCATGTCCGGCGGCCTCGTCCGCCAGAAGATGAAGTACCTCCGCTTCCTCCGAAGAGGATGAACACCAAGCCCTCCCATGGCCCCATCCACTTCCGCTCCCCCGCCAAGATCCTCTGGCGCACCGTCCGCGGGTAAGCTAATCAAACCCCGAAGCTGTGCGGATCAATGGATTTCTCTCCGCTTTCCCCTTGTCATTTCGATTCCTGTTCTGATTTTGCGTCGGCGGCGCGGTGAATCCCCTGCAGCATGATCCCGCACAAGACCAAGAGGGGAGAGGCGGCGCTGGCAAGGCTGAAGGCGTACGAGGTCGTGACGCCGCCGTACGACAGGACCAAGCGCATGGTCATCCCCGACGCGCTCAAGTACGTCGGATTCGCTTGTTGTTTGGATATTTTCTTTTTGTGATTATTGTAATTGTGCACGAGCGATTGGTCTAATGGTGTTTGTTTGGTGCCGAATTGTAGGGTTCTGAGGCTGCAGCCTGGGCACAAGTACTGCCTCCTCGGCCAGCTCTCCAAGGAGGTTGGCTGGAACTACTATGACACCATCAGGGTAAGTTTCCATTCCTCCAAGGAGTAGCTGTGTTGTAATTGTTGTGATTGGACTGTTTACCAGCGGTAGATTTATAATAGATCGGGCCATTCATTTAGTAGTTTTTAGTAATGCTCGTTCCGTCGATTAACTGGATACCTTCATGAAATGAAATAGAGCTCGATAAAAAATAAGGCACTAGATTGTTTTTTTTCAATTGTGATGATCCTTAGTTTGTTAGATTGCCTTGTTATAGTTGCTGGTTTTGCGGTGGTTAATTTATATGGTTCATATATTTCTTTTGTGGTGAAATGCTCATGATCTGGGTGATGAAGAAAATCAGACGGATTCCCATTGAATTTCCAAATATGATTTTAACAACCAGCTACTTCTGACAGATCATGACATTTCTGACTGTAAACATTTATCTTCCTTGCTGTAAAATTTTATCTTAATTTCCAATTGTGATGTTTGCTGATATATTTAGTCCACTAGCTACAAATGATTTTCTTCAAGAGTTTTATGGGAATGATTATGTAATTATTAAGTTGCGATTGTCTGATTTTTATATGGGCCTGTGATGTAAGCTAAATATTTGCTACTCTTGATGGGGATTCCCAGTTGATGATCTCATACCACCAAGATCTCTGAGGCTCATAACATCATCCATTTTCTAAAGTACAAACCCCTTGAAACGAAATTGCATGTTTGGGGTGCCTGTAGCTCTGCATGTTGGGTGATTTCTTATTTTGTTTTCAGCTGTGCCACTAATATGTTATTTCTAACTTTGGGTGATTTGTATGCCGATTTTCCCGCTGAACCGAGCCATCTTGTATTGCTCATTTTTTTCTTATTTCTGGTTTGATATTTTGTGTTAAAATTTGTATATTTTTTTATTCCTTTTCGGTTTAGATCTGTGTTCTTTGCATTGGAGGAGGCTGTTGCGATGAGGATATTATGCTCCCTCTTCTGAAGGCATTGAGGACGCTCGCTGGCAGAATCGAACAAATTATTAAAGCCACCACTGAGTAGCATGAAATCCTCCTCCAATTTGTTCTTATTATTTCTATGTTTTTTATTGTTTTCTTAGATCTGTTTGGATTGTGAGGAGGTAATTGATGCATAATCCAACACTTGATCAGAGGATGGCTTTTGTCGTCCATATGACGTTACACATCTCTGCATCTGAATCCAGTCACAGAACATATCCTTTATCGTTTATAGTTTGTGGAATTTTTACAGTATCAGAGGATGAAACCTTATAACAATCTTAGGACACCTTCTGACACAGTGCAATCACACTGTGAATGAGAAGGCTTTTCTTTCTGATGATGCTTTAAATATCCAATTTATATTCTTTCATCCAATCTTGCGTGTTTTATAATTGTTTCTGCTTCCTACATCTATGATTTTGAGCCTGTGATGATTAGCATATTGTTGGAATTACCGTCGGATTATCAAATGACGACATTTGTCTGTCTTCCTGAGGCTTAATCCAATAATATTGTAGTTTATATAGATCTAAATTCTGTTCATGTATTATGAGTTGCAACCTTGTCCCGGTGAGGAATCTAAGACCATAGGAAGTGCCGTATGACACTTTAAACAGCAGCTGCTTTTCTCCTTTGCAAGTGTCCATCCTTCGACCATAACCTTTGTGGTTTGGTCTTGGATGGAGTACCCATTTGCAATTGGTTTAATTCGGGTGTGTGTGATTTTAAACGGGTCTCTGAGGGATTGTGCGTAGCTTTGTCTCATATAATCTAAAATTTGCATCTGCTATTTTTGTGATTGTTTAGGCCTGATGCCACGTCACCTGTAGCTATGGCTTTGACCGGTGATGCTTTGATTAGGCCAAAACCGAGTTGGTTTCGGACGTTTCACATGTTTATAGGAACCTGGGACTGCATCTCCATCGGTCTACAGAGCCGGTTTCTGTGATTACATTTGATTTATTTGAAGTAACAACTTTTTTGGTTTTTGTTTTTATTTTCTTACAAATCCTTAATAGTATGGCAATGATGATAAATTTAAGGCTTGTTTCTCATAACATTCGCAGTTGCCGCCTAAGAGCTCTCGCCCTGCCAGGCTTGAGAGCTAATGCTGTTGATTCCTTCCTTGGATGTTTGAGCCATTTTCTTTATATATTACTATTTGTGTTCTTTTGCTCTGTGTAAGTTGGTGTTCTGCATTGCAAATGATGCTATAATCAAGGCTTGTTTCTCATGACATTCGCAGTTGCCGCCTAAGAGCTTTCGCCCTGCCAGGCTTGAGAGCTAGTGCTGCTAATTCCTTCCTTGGATGTCTGATGCCTAGCAACACCAACTCTATCCTATTTAAATAATTTGTTTTGCCCATTTTTTAATTCATTCTCTTCAATTAATTTGATTGCCAGTTTGGACATTCATGTTTACTGAAAAGTATTTGGGCTGTGATGGATGCCTTGTGATGCTAAAATCAAGGCTTGTTTCTCATGACATTCGCAGTTGCTGCCTAAGAGCTTTCGCCCTGCCAGGCTTGAGGGTTAGTGCCACTGCTGCAGCAAATCTCCACCTCTTTCCTCCCGCTGCAGCAAATCTCCTCTTGCAGCAAATCTCCTCCTCTTTCCACCCCCGTAGACGCTTTTCCTAGCACAGCCAGATCTGCTTATTCTTCTGCACCTTTTGCTACATCCTGTGATTTGTTGTTTCATTTTGTTGTTTTTTTTCACGGCTGTTTTTTTCTAGTATGCATGCGATGCAATTGCAGTGAGGACTTGAATTTTCGCTACAACCTGATATTTCTATTGTGATCTTTTTTTTGTCACGCTGTTCTATTATGCCAGCAATGCGATGGCAGTGACGACTTGGTAATATTCAAGCTCAACAGACCAAATCACAGGTCTTTCTCTCTGGATCCACTCCTCTGGGATTGATTTGTATGCCGATTTTCCCGCTGAACCGAGCCATCTTGTATTGCTCTTTTTTTTCTTATTTCTGGTTTGATATTTTGTGTTAAAATTTGTATATTTTTTTATTCCTTTTCGGTTTTATCTGTGTTCTTTGCATTGGAGGAGGCTGTTGCGATGAGGATATTATGCTCCCTCTTCTGAAGGCATTGAGGACGCTCGCTGGCAGAATCGAACCAATTATTAAAGCCACCACTGAGTAACATGAAATCCTCCTCCAATTTGTTCTTATTATTTCTATGTTTTTTTATTGTTTTCTTAGATCTGTTTGGATTGTGAGGAGGTAATTGATGCATAATCCAACACTTGATCAGAGGATGGCTTTTGTCGTCCATATGACGTTACACATCTCTGCATCTGAATCCAGTCACAGAACATATCCTTTATCGTTTATAGTTTGTGGAATTTTTACAGTATCAGAGGATGAAACCTTATAACAATCTTAGGACACCTTCTGACACAGTGCAATCACACTGTGAATGAGAAGGCTTTTCTTTCTGATGATGCTTTAAATATCCAATTTATATTCTTTCATCCAATCTTGCGTGTTTTATAATTGTTTCTGCTTCCTACATCTATGATTTTGAGCCTGTGATGATTAGCATATTGTTGGAATTACCGTCGGATTATCAAATGAC